GGGGCCCCTGGATCTCAGGGGGCCCCTGGGGTCCCGGGGGCCCCCTAGGGTTTGGGGGCCCCTGGGGATCTGGGGACTGTTGAGGGTCTTTGAGTTCATTTTTTTGGTTTTGTTTTCTTTTTTCTGTTGCTGCTAAAGCTATGATTGCTGCGATGTCTATGAGGCGGTCTTTGGCAGCCATTGTGTTGCTGCTGCTGCTGCTGCTGCTGCTGCTGAAGTGACCCCGGGAGGCAGCAGCTTAAAGTGGGACTTTGGAGCTTTTGGAAGGAGAAAACACTTTTAAATATTATCAGAAAAAAGAAAAGAAGACTTAATTCAAGAAAGGCAAACGTGGGGCCCCCGGGAGGCCCCCCACCGCAGCCCTGACTCAAAGTCCTTGCTGCTGCTGCTGCTGCTGCTGCTGCTGTTGTTGCTGCTGCTCTATTTTAGCCTCTTTGGGGTTAAATTGATTAAATAATCATAGTCTTTTGCTTTTAAAAAAAACTAATTAAATGTAGACTTCAATCTGGCGGAAACTTGGGGCTGAGTTCACCAGGTGTCGATACACCTGACGAGGGGCCCCAGGTGCAGCGCCGAATGGGGGGCCCCCAGACGTCGATATCTGCTGTAAAATGGCCTTTTAAATAAATAAATTTGAATTAAATAAATTACGTTTCAATAAAATTTTTAATTTAATTTATTTAATTTGAAAAAGCACCGAGAAAAAGGCCGAAACTGCAAGGTCACCTGACGCGGGGGATATCGCTCTGCAACCTCCGTCATCTTTTGCGGATTTCTTCAGAGGAATTCATTGAATTTTAATTTCAATTTTGTTTTTTAAACTTAATTTAATTTAATTAAATCAAATTTAACTTAATTTAATTCAATTTAATTCAATTTGATTCAGATTCGTTGAAAAAACTCTCGAGCCGGTCTTTGGAGTTGCTGCAGCGGCGCCCAGTGTGCCAGTCAGCGCCGCCAGACAAGAAAAAAAGAAATTAGGGTTTAGGGTTTAGTGTTTAGTGTTTAGGGTTTAGGGTGTAGGGTTTAGGGTTTAGGGTTTACAACAGAGCGATAAAGGGAAGAAGGGAGAGAAAAACCAAACATGAACTCACGCGCGTTTTCCAATGCCTTCATCATTGTTTTCGAAACCACGTTTGAGGGTTCAGGGTTCAGGGTTTAGGGTTAAGGGCTTAGGGTTTAGGGTTTAGGGTTAAGCGTTAAGAGTTTAGGGTTTAGGGTGTAGGGTTTAGGGTTTGGAGCCTAGCGTGTAGCACCTAGCTTCGCTGTGCCGTTGTCTCCCTTTTAGGGTGTAGGGTGAAGGGTTTAGGGTATACGGTATAGGGTTAAGGGTTAGAGATCAAGGGTTTAGGGTTTGGGGTTTAGGGTGTGGGGTTAAGGGTTTAGGGTTTAGGGTTTACGGTTTAGAGTCCCCAATCCTTGAGAACGCTGAGCAGCCTTCGAGGTGTACGTACACCTGATTAACAGGCTCTCAGCGCAATTTTCTTTTCTTCTCAAAAGTCATTTCAATTATTTTTAAATTCTTTTAAAAAGATATTTTAAACTCCAGAAAGTGTTTATTTTTATTTTTAAAAATATATGCAAGCAAACTTTTGCAAGTACTTTTGCAAAGGCTCGAAAATGCAATTTTTTATTTTTCGAATTTCAAAGAAATGCTTTTGGTCCGAAGTAGAGTTATTTTATCTGCATAAATGAACAAATAATTCTCAATTAAAATAAATAAATTAATTAGTTCATTAAATAAATAAATAAATTGATTAATTAATTAATCAATTAATAATAAATAAATAAATAAACGGATAAATAAATAAATAAGCGGATAAATAAGCAAATAGATAAGCAGAACATTTCTGCACCGGGTCCTTTATTTTGATTTGAACATATCAAATAAATACAATTAAATATATTTAACGATTTTAATTTTATTTTTTGTTCTTTTTCTTTATTTTGACTTTAAATAAATCAAGTAAGGGCCAATAAATATATTCAATAAATTTATTTTTATTTTTCAATTGCATGCATGCATGCATGCATGCATATTTGAATGAAACTTCGTTTAAAATGTGATCTCCTCAAGAACAAATTAAAATATGTATATATATACTTATATATATTAATATATATGTGTTTGTTTATATACATGTTTATTTATATATATGTCTATAACTATAAAGATATTTGTTTATGAATAATAAGAGTAAAAAGACATTTTATTTGCATTTATAAATGAACTTCAAGGGTAAAATGCATTTATTCTCTTGTAATAACTAAGTCAAATAAACAAAATGAATAAAAAACAAAACAAATAAAATAAATAAATTTTGTAGAAGGTTTCTTTAAAAGGAACCACTGGGGACATTCTTGTCTGGTGTTTGTACAGGGTCCAATAAAATGTTAAGTGTGGCAAAAAGTGCAAAAAAGCTTTTTTTCAAATCTCAAAAAGTTGAAAAAAGGACAATTGGACATTTGGGATTTTATTTAAAAGACTTTTGTTGCGAACATCTGAAAATGCAATATTTGAGCTTCATTTTGAAGTCCTTTTGCTTTTTTTTGGGACTTTTTTGACTTCAAAATGAATAAAATGAAAATTTTAATGAACGCAAAATGACACGTCCACGCGCATGCAGGTGTACGTGCACTCAGAGTGTACGTACACCTACGCACATTATCCAATTAATTATAATTATAATTTAATTATAATAACAATAATAATTATTATTATTTATTATTATTATTATCACTATTATTATTATTATTATTATTATTATTATTATTATTATTAGTACTATTAATATTATTATCATTAGTATTCGTGTTAGTATTATTATCATTATTATTATTAGTATTATTATATTATCTTATATTGCCATTATCATTATGATATTATATTATTATTATTATTGTTTTTGTTATCATTATTTTCATGTTCATAATATTGCAATTATTTTTAACAGCAGCTAGAGATAATTAAAAGGAGAAATAAATCGGAAAATGAATCTTCTGTGGTTTCAAGTCCTTTTGCATGCATTAAATTTAATTTATTTTTAAGAAAATAAAATTCAAAAAATGATTTATTTAAAACTTCCCCGTCCTGATATTCCTGTATTGGGGGGTGTATATACACTTGAAATGTCTAGACACGAAATATTTCAGACAAAGACACTCAAGATTTACCTTAAACCCTCCCTAAACCCTAAACCCTAAACCCTAAACCCCAAGACCTAAACCTTTACTTCTTTGGGTATACATTTAGGTACAAGTATGTGTGAATGGCTATATGCGCTACAGGCCTTAGACTTTATAAACCCTAATGTTAAACCCCAATGCGTCCCCTAAACCCTAAACCCTAAACCCTAAACCCTTGTAATACCACAAACTTTCACCCCGAGGCTCTAAACCCTAGGTTATTAATCCTCAGGGTAAAAGGAATGATATATTCTGATTTTAAAAGCCTTTTTATTTAGAAAGGGTTTTTGAGAATTTCCAGAAAAGTGCAAAAAGATGAAAAGCATTTCTTGTGCTCGCGGTGTTCTGGGTTTCTGAGGTGTATGTACACCTCGGGCTTTGCATGCAACACCGAAAAGCTTTGAATTCTTTTGAAATATATTTTAATTTTATTTTAAATTTAAAATGAACAGGTAAAAATTGGTGAATAATTTGCAACAGCAGCAGCAAACATTGCTGCTGCTGGTGCTGCTGCTGCTGCTGGTGTCGGTGGCGGTCTGCGGCTGCATGGGCGCAGGAGGGGTTGTGAGTTGCGGGAAGCCGTAAACCCTAGACCCTAAACCCTAAACCCTAAACCCTGCTAATTTAAAAAATAAATGGAATCAAATGGTTTTTTTTCTCTCTTAAAAACCCTGAACCCTCGGGGTGTTCAGCAGCAGCAGCAGCAGCAGCCGGTCCGGTTCGCGTCGGCGATGATGGAGTTTTTGTTCGTTTTTCTGCATTTTTGAGATATAAATTAAAACTTAATTATGTTTTATCATTTTTAATTCAATTAATTCTTTTTTTTAATCCAAATGGTCTCCAATTTCCCCAAAGAAACCCCCCTGGGGGCCCTCCCCCCGGACCAGCTCCTCAGAACCCTCAGGTCCCTGCACACAGCCAAACAAGGTGAGGCCCCAAACCCTAAACCCTAAACCCCAAACCCTAAACCCTAAACCCTGAGGGTTGAGCTACAAAGCCAGCAGCAGCAGCAGCAACAGCAACAGCAACAGCAGCAGATAGGAACGCCCTGCGCCGACTGCCGACGAGGCTTCAGGTTTCCCAGCTGCTGCTGCTTCAGCAGCAGCAGCAGCCGATGCTTCGACTTCAGCAGCAGCAGTAACAGCAGCAGCAGCCGCTGCCGCTGCTGCTGCTGCCAGCAAGTGCAGCTATTTATGAGCTGTCCCTCATTTTAAGTTTATTCGCGCTGCTGCTGCACCTGTTGTTGCTGCTGCTGCTGCTGTATCTGTTGTTCCTGTTACTGCTGCTGCTGCTGCTGTTGCTGCTGCTGCTGCTGTTGCTGCTGCTGCGCACACAGGGCTGCTGCAGCTGCTAGTTGAAGTGACAGCTGAAAAGGAGACTCTGCTGCAGCAAAGGAGACAGCTGAGGGAGGAAGAGAAGCAGCTGCAGCAGCAGCTCGAGTGAGGAACTACACAATTAGGGTTTAGGGTTTAGGGTTTAGGGTTTAGGGTTTAGGGTTTAGGGTTTAGGTAGGGTTTAGGGTTTGGGGTTTGAGCGGCATGTCTCGCGGCGCTGTGTCTTTAGGGTTCAAGGAAGGGGCCTCAGTCTTTTTCAAGCAGTTCTGATGGAGTAAGGACACAAACCCTAAACCCTAAACCCTAAACCCTAAACCCTAAAAGGGGGACAACGGCACAGCGAAGCTAGGC